TCCCATACTTTATGCCTTTGACTGGAACACCAAGACACCCACTACAGAGAGGACGGACGGATATTGGTGAACTTTGCGAGACCAGCTAGGCGATTTGAATCTGCTGGCAACAAAAAATGTGTATCACACATCCTACAATAGATACTGTTCTACCCTGTTTGACACTATTAAGTCGAGGATTGGTAAAACACAAGCCGCGTTTATTCAGCTCAGATATACACCAGTGGCGTAGCTAGGATTTTTGGGCCCCTATGCAAAAATTATCAGTGGGTTCCCTTCGTCAACCATTAGGCTACAATGGAGTTAAACGAAGGAATCAAGTGTTACTTAAGATAGAGGGTTTTCAATAATGTAAATATTCTGTACATTATGTATTTTATACGTCTTGATTGTGTATTTGTACTATATTATAATGAAGGCCTACAACCCCGTAGTTTTGTAAAAATGTTACAGGCTTACAGTTATTTTTTTAAGTCACCAAACACAGTAGCGGACGGTGTAGCCTAGCGGGGGAGCGCTAGACTGCTAACCCGATAGTTTCGAGTTCGAATCCGGGTTCAAGTTAGTGGAACGTACTTGAGTCCCCCCAACTCTGATGGGTACCTAATTCACGTTAGGCAAAATAAAGGCGGCTGGGCATAATGCTAACCACATTATCCCTTTATATGACGAGGTCAAGAAACATATGAATTCCACTTCATCTGCCCAATGGATCGTTAGTTGACACCATCACAAAACATTGTAAAATTTACTATGCTATATCCAGCTAAAATAATAAAAGATAAGTGAGAGAGGGTTAACATCACACCACCGAAAGTGCACAGTTGTTGGGGGCGATGGTGGGACACCTTTAATGAACCCGTAGGGTAACCGACCTTGTGACGCAAGATAGTTGAAATGTAAAAATCGCCACTGCTAATTTTTTTTTCGAATCTTTGTTACTGGGGCGCGGGTTTGTCGACACTACCGCTCAGACGCCATTTGGCGTGCTGTATTAAAGCATTGAGTGTACGTTAATCATCCTCCGTAATAGGGAGGTTAAATACCTTTTGGCGCCGCCTACAGATGTCGCGGAGGTTACTGGTTACACTATCGTAGGTAGCCGGATGCAACCCTTGGTTCGGTTTAAATCATCTAACGTAGAGACCCACCGTGTCCCTAGTGTAGAGTGGTCTTGTGCTTGTTGTTATCCGTACGCCGGGGGCGTCGAAGGCATCCCTGTTGCAGTTTTATCGTTGAATAAGTAGTACCCATGCAGGACGCGCAATCAACGGATCTCTTGCACTAAGGTAGCTGTTGGTTATCTCGGGACGCCCAACCTTTACTACTGCTGATGCGCTGGAGGACACCCGTTATTCAGTTTAGTAATTGATTTTAGTAGACCTCTGTATTCCTAGTGGGTGGCGCTCATTAAAACGAATATAGGCGCCGTAGTGTTCATGTGGGAGCTCGGGGCGCATTGGGTTATACAACCGCCGGGGTGTCGGTTTATGCGCCTCTGTAATTTGCCAGCGAATTAAGTGGTAACGCTGACCTGCTACGCCGGACACCCAATCAATGGCCCCCAGATGCTAAGATAGTCGCTTGAAAACTCTGGGTGGCAAACCTCACGGCCTTACTGCTGGGGCCCCGACATCCGAAATAAAATAAAAATGTAATGCCAGAAACCTTCCTAAATGTCAGAGTTTCTTTCAGGTAGGGCCTACCTTTCTAGGAAAATGTATCGGGAAAAAAACACTGCCACGCAGTACACTCAGTTACTTCACAAAATTTCTTGGCGATTGGTTGAAAACCAAAAATTTATAGTTTTAGTAGCGCCGTATTAATTAAAGATAAATTAGATCAACAAATGAAATGTCTTTAAGGTAAAAAAAATTTAGTTTATTCTGTTATTCTTGTGTGGAATATTGATGCTGTGATGAGTGAATTTCTTTAATTGATAAATTAGTTTCAAGTATGTGTGCCCGATTGTGTGCGCCTCCATATCTAGATGTAGGTAAATCAAACAAAAGTGGCCACACTGTTACATATATATATATATATATATATATATATATATATATATATGGTTGTCTCTGTTATGTCTGATTATTCATTTTGTTTGCTTGCAAGTTGTTTGGTGTACACAGCAGATACAAAAACTTGATTATCTGACATCTAGTGGTTATCAAATTATTTTCATTCACTTATTTTAAATCTACTGAAATTGAAAACGACACATTTTTGCTTTGTCAAAGGAGATTGATTTATCTGAAATTTAGTTGATGTAGTAATTAATTAAGTAACGAGACAACATAGTTTAACACAAGCAAAAAAAACAAAAACAAATAAGAAACAAAATTTAGATAAAAAAGAATAACAATAAATGCAATAAATTAAATAATTACATATTTTGTTATCCATTTGGAAAAAAACAATGATCAACCAAAACATTAAAAAGCAGATCAATGATTTCAGGTAAAAAAAAATTCAGATCATTGAAACAAATATAAGCTGCCTTATAATAAATTTTTTGCCAAAATGTAAGGGAAACACTGCAAAACAAAATTCATAACACAAAAAAATAAGTAATGGAATGTGAAGTGGTTTTTCTTTAAAATTAATTAGCATGATCAATTTCTGTTTTATTTATCCCTTGACACCATTGTATTGAACTGCAATCAGCAAAAAAAAAAAACCTACAGACTTGATACCTTTTTACTGTGCAAAAACTACATGTTGTTGTATAAGGACTATAGTAAAAATAAAATGCAACCATACAGAAATAAGGAAACAAATTAAAATTAATTATATTAAAACAAGCACTATTTTATGCTTTTGTTTGATTAAACTTAAGAGAAATAACACTGTTCCAGTTTAGTATTTTTAATAAATGAGTCTTGGTATTTAATTTTAAAACTATTTATTTACTGCCATGCCCTTTTATGTGACATGTTTAGTGTCATTAGACAGTTGAAAAGTAAATATTTTGGCCTTGATCTTTTAAATTTTTTTGCCTCTACCCATCTATTTATTTTTTAAAAGTTTGAGTGAAGTAGACCTACTAAAGTAGACCTGCAACTATTATGAAAACAGAACAGCTGGGTGCCTATTGTGTTGTAGTGAGAGAAAAAGTACAGATCTTATTTTTTAAAATTGGTTTTTGAAATAAAAGATATTCAAAAGTACCATAAAACATGTACAAAATTATTTTCAAAAAGGAATACATCCTTCACATTAAATCATTAAAAAGAATCTTGAATAAGAAAAAGATTTATTTTTATATTTACATATTAAATATTAATAAATATATTTTTAAATTAATTCAAATTGCAATTTTAACAAAAAAAAACCCCAACAAGCCCTGGATATTATACTTGTGTCAGAAACATAAATAATCACAACAATATAAAATAAAATAGATTTTGACTTCATTACAAACATTTCAGTCATAAGGCCAGTAACAAATTACTACATGCTGTGCACTGAAAGCTGTACTGTAACATTAAATTTTTTCAAAATGTTAATTTTGGCAAATAATTTTATTGTAATTATTCATTACAATTGGGTAGAAAAGTGAATATAGTATAAAATAATATATAAATATATAGTCAACATCAAGGCGAAAAACAAGATTTAACAGCAGTAATGAATATATATATAGAGAGAGCAATCTATTAATGAGCACTTTGAATAAATAATAACTTGAGATTTTGAGTAATGTACAATCACTGTAACAGGTTACATAATATGAATATTCTATAAGAGTAAAAATAGTTTGTTTTTAAACATATATAAAACAATCATGTTGATAAATATTTTTTTTACAAACCGCAACCACTAATTAATATACATTGATAAACAATCATAACTTTGATTTTAAGAGTTTTGATTTTGGATGGAAATGCTTTTTATCTACAGATTTTATCACCTTTAAAGCAACATTACAAGCTTTAATCATTTTGTCAATGTCTTGGAATGGTATGAACTTGTTCACAGGAAGATAAATAACATGATCAATTAAGTACTTGGCTTCATGAGGATAACATGCGTTCAGAGGGGATTTTTCCTGGTAAACAATTAAAAGAAAACAATTTTAAAAATTAATAAAAAACATTTACTTAAGGCATACAACAATATTGCAAGAATTGCCAAATATGTAACACCTTTTTTTTTTACAAATACTTGTGCCTAAAAATAAAAACTTTAAAAAATACTATGTGTAATATTTTGTTACCTGAAAAGATAATAGCTAGATACATGTATAAATTTGGGATTGTTCTCAATGTAACTTAAAAATATATCTTATATTTTTTTACAGAATTACTAATTAAAAATGTTTTTTCAACTTTTCATAAACAGACTGCTGCCAAAGTTAAGTTAGGGATTTTATATATTTAAACTTCTATTACTGCTGGAAACTGTTTTAATTTAACCATGAAAATGTAAGTCTAAAAGTATTCAAAGTATAGGCAATACTCACTTCAGCAAAAAATGTCTTCAGTTCTTCTTTATTTTCTGGCTCAATGATGTTCAGTTGTGTTGCCCCACGATAAGCATCTACACCTAAGACATTTAAGATGCCTACAACTGTATCTGGCTCTTCCTGAAAACAGTACAATTGTATTAGATCTATTATTTACCACCCATGAAGAATGTTAATGTAGGTGACTGATAACATTAATAACTGTGTTTTACATGGTTAAAAACAGGGGTCTCCAAACTACGGCCCGCGGGTCCTCTCATCCGGCCCGCGGAGATAATTTTGTTCACGGAAAAAAACGTTTGTTGGTGATGGCTGAGGAACTTTGCCCAGAAAAATCAAAGACATGCCTGGAAGAAACTGGCCCCCGAGCTGAAATTTGATAGTTAATGCGGCCCTCGGACTGAAAAGTTTGGAGACCCCTGGTTTAAAATATAATGGTTTTATAGATGGAATATCTTAAACATGCAGTGTAAACAGATAATAAATGTTTCATTTATCTAGGCATTTGCTGGATAAATGTGGTTTTAAACAGATAAAGTTTTTTCGTAACTATCTTGTAAAAGGTAAATACAGCAACTTTGCCCTTCATAATAAAGCAAGATTATTAGCTGAATAAAAACTAACATAAAAATAATTAAGTGATTTTATATGTATTTTTATTATCATTGCTAGAGTTTTTTTAAACTCACCACTAATACAGGAAACAGCCAGAAATTATTGACTTTAGTAGCTAATCCAACATGATCATAACCTTCCGGGAGGTTATTCAACAGATAAACAGCCTTTAACCTCTGTAAATTAAACTCAGTTTGCTTAAAGCTTTCATGACGATGCAACATTGTCAACAGCAGTGCTGTGCTAGGCTGCCATCGAATCATTTCAATCATCTTGTCAGGAAACCCGCGCATCCATTTCACAAAGATTGACTTGTAGTCAACTCCAAAACGATTCAAAACTTTCCTTCCAATTAATGGAAGAGGTTTAACTTGAAGCCAAGAATAAATAAAAATGTATTTCATAACTTTTTTAAAGTACATATCTGCTTTTTGAACTGGATAAGACATGTGAATACTAAGCATCTTTTCATACATCTCAATATCCCTAATTTTAGCTATGCTGCCACCTAAAGAAGTGTAAAATTTTATAGCTCCAAAGCTAAATAAAGAAATATCTGCAGAAGGATGACCTATATTTTCAAAACCACAAAATGACTCAGCACAATCCTCAATAACTGCCAAACCATGTTGTGCTGCTATATCAATAAATGGATCCATGTTGATAAGGCGTCCATACAAATGAGCAACAACTATAGCAACACTTTTAGCAGTGATTAACTTTGGCAATAGTTCTAATTTTGGTTCTAATGTGTCTATACTTATATCTAGAGGAATGATGATCAGTCCGTGGCTCCTTGCTATCTCACACATGTCAGGAATATTTATAGCTGACATGATGATTTCTGATCCTGGAGGATATTTTTTTACCATAAGAAACAAGTCAAATCCAGTTCGCACTGATAGCAGTGGCATGACATGGTTGGGATTGCTGGGGCCTCTCCAAAGCTCTTGTAACTTTTTTTCAACATGCCCCCTACAGTTATCACTGCTACAGAAACATTGCAATGCTGAATACCAAAGGTTTTTACAAGTAGTATCTGAAACAAATATTAATGTTACATTTAATAAAAAGCTTTTAAAGTGTAAATATATATTAGTAAACTACATGTTCTTTATAAAAATGAAAATCAATACTAACTTATGTAATTAAAAACAGTGACTAATAGTAATATCCATGTTAAAAAGTTGGCTAAATTAAATAAATACTCACCTATAATAATTGGAGAGTAGGGGATAATGGGATAATTCATTGGTGCGGTTATTCGGAATCAGGAGAATCCATATATAATTTAATCTAGAAAAAGAGAAAATAATAAATTAATTATGAATTTTGGGCTAGACTTACACTATAATTCTTGTTCTTATACGTAATGAATTAGCTAGCCATCAAAAACATTTAGTCCAATGGAAAATTGGAATATTTTATACATTTTTTGCAATGTTAATATATCTATTATAAGATCACAAAAATGTTATTGTGTATTTTTTCAGTCATTTTTGTACAGATTATTATTTGTAGGCCTACCTTGTAGTTGTAGTAGATGTTTATGATTCAAAGTTGTTTATATTTTACTTGTCTCCACATAGATCTAGTAACAATAGAATTAATAATTAGGCCTATATGAATATTGAAATGCCAATTACAGTGATTTGGATGAATAGCAGGGGTGCCATTTATTTTTTAAGTGAATCCTGAAAATCAATCTCAAAATTTTAGCAATCTTGAAAAACTTTGAAATGTAATGTCGAACTGTATTTTTGAAAACTATTTTTTGAGACATGATTCTTATTCTTATTATGTTAAATATAGGCAAAACTCCATTTTAGCGTATTTTATTCTTCGCTTCTTGTTTACCTCCAGTTGAGCGTATTTTATTATAATAACCGAAACACACCAAATCATTAGGAAAACATGATTTATTTTTTTGTATTGTATTTTTGTTTTAACAAATGAATAAAAAAACAAAGAGACTGACTTTGTTTTAGATTTTGATATTTACTTTTGTCAAAACTTGAGAAAAATTGAATGTGCTATGTTCGTGTGTCAGAATTTTTATGGCAATGGATGAAGTACGTAAACATAACTCACAACTGCAAGACGGTTAAGTTTGTTTTGTTACAAGTATCTCCCAGGCATGATACTATAAATAAACATTTATGAACTTACAATGACCTCAATACTGAGGCCAACACAACTTCAAACAGCTATTGCCCTAGCTATGACGTATGCTGGTAATTAAAGTCAATGTGAACTCACTGTGAACCCGGGACTGTGTAAGGATTTTTCTCCCGCTGACGATCACACTATATTTAATTGTAACAGTTCTAATGGTTTTTTAATGTTTTTTTTTACCTTTTCTAATTAAAAAACACATTCATAACAAAAAATAAGTAGATCTAGTGTTTTCCTAACGTTTTTGTGTGTTTCGGTTGTGTTTATAATAAAATATGCTCAACTGGGGTGAAAGTGAAAGAGAAGCGGGGAATAAAAATACGCTAAAATGGAGTTTTAACTTAAATTATAGGCCTACACTCTTTTAGTGGATTTATTATCTTTGTAACAATATTCTAGATCTAAATTTATTCCAACCCTGAAGAAGTGAAGACTAAGTTAAAAGTTAAGATAAGAGTAAGAGACAGTAAGAGTAAGACAGAAGAAAAAAAAAATTAATTAAAAAACGTTTTAATAACAAGCTTTTATTACTAATGCACTAAAAAGTAGAAAATAAATTATACACTACTATTTAAATTACTATAACGAAAAGCGTGGGTCACTTTAGTACTTTAGTACCTATTGGATACCTTTACTAATATTTGAGAAGAGACTCATGCTTTTCTTTATAGTTATTTAAATAGTAGTGTATAATTTATTTTCTACTTTTTAGTGCATTAGTAATAAAAGCTTGTTATTAAAACGTTTTTTAATTAATTTTTTTTTCAGTACTTTACATGTTTTATTTACAATAGTGTTACATGACTAAAAACAATTGCACGTCTATTTAACGTGATGGCGCAGCTATTAAACCTGATGGTGCAGCTATTGAACGTGATGACGCGTGTGGTGTGGTTGGATAGACATGCCTATTGATTCGGTCCAAATTTTAATTAATTAATAAAAAATTAATTAGGCATCCAATTAAGTCAAATTTAGTTTCAGATTGCATTGTCTTCATGTCTTGACCCACGTGCCAACTGTGAATCGTATCGGTCAAGTAGAACTGTCCGAATTTTCTCTCCTGCGTTTCTATCTAGACTGACGACAGACTGACGAAGAAGTGAGTTAAATAAAAGCTTGTAAAAAAAATTCATAAAAAACGTTTTAATAACAAGCTTTTATGTAATAATGCACTAAAAAGTAGAAAATAAATTATAGACTACTATTTAAATTACTATAAAGAAAAGCGTGGGTCACTTTAGTACTGATTGGATACCTTTACTAATATTTGAGAAGAGACCCACGCTTTTCTTTATAGTAATTTAAATAGTTGTCTATAATTTATTTTCTACTTTTTAGTGCATTATTACATAAAAGCTTGTTATTAAAACGTTTTTTATGAATTTTTTTTCAGTACTTTACATGTTTTATTTACAATAGAGTTACATGACTAAAAACCATTGCGCGCCTACTGAACGTGATGGCGCAGCTATTGAATGTTATTGTACCGTGATGGCGAAGCTATTGAACATGATGACGCGTGTGGTGTGGTTGGCTAGACATGCCTACTAATTCGGTCCAAATTTTAATTAATTCATAAAAAATTAATTAGGCATCCAATTAAGGCAAATTTAATTTCAGATTGCATTGTCTTCATGTCTTGACCCACGTGCCAAGTGTGAATCGTATCGGTCAAGTAGAAGTTTCCGAATTTTCACTCCTGCGTTTCGGTCTAGACTGACGACAGAGCAACGACAGAGGAAGTGAGTTAAATAAATTTATAAAAGCTTGTAAAAATCGAGGAGTTTTTACAACATGTTTCACGCAAAGCGGACTTTCAATTATTAAATATTAGGCCGATTCTAGTCGGAATAAGATACGCATGCGATACGCATGCGCAATGGAGAGAAACTACGACTTAGCGGCGATGTTTTCGATGGTACTGCGCATGCGTGTGTTTACAACCGCAGAACCCTAATACCAACCCTAATCCTATCCTTAACCCTATCCCTAATCCTAACCCTATCCTTAACCCTAGCCATAATCCTATCCCTAACCCTAATCCTACCCCTAACCCTCATTCTAGCCCTAACCGCTAACCCTAGCCATAGGTCACTGCGCATGCGCAGAACTATCTTTTGCCGAAAAATCTTATTCCGAGTAGACTAGGTTTTTCGATTCGTGAAATCTCGTTCTCGCGGTTTTGAAGCACCCGTGTTTTGGGCGGCCATATAAAATATCGAATCATTTCTTTCTCATGAAGTACATGATAGTTAAAACTAAGGATTGTATCGTAATCGGATAGATTTTCACTCGAAACTGCCCATGTATTTACGGGGCGAATAATTAACATTTTAATAATGGCAGCTTGACCTAATTTCTTTATTTGTATTTAACGAGGCAGTCGAGAGAAAGTCACGCTGACCTAGCTTGCGTTTCAAGTCGAATAAACTAAAAGCAGGTGCGTTCTACAATAACTTTATTGTAATATACAATTTGTATATCATCTTTACTATCAAATAAAAATAGAATTGTTTAATATAATTAGGGTGGAAACAATGCTTTTGAGGGTGTAAGTAATAATGCCATTTTATTATATTCTTGTTTGGTGAAAACGAGGCGCGGGAAAATGTGTGCCGCGCAAGAATCCAATCATTTGGCTAGATTTATGACTGTTTTTTATGTCATACCTAAAAATAGAATGTTTACGCTTTCTTCGTTGATGATCGTTTTTATTATTTTTTAAATTGAAAGTATGAATTATTAGTTAGATTGCGGATTTTGTAACTTGGTATACTTACCTTTTATCAATTTAAAAAACATAGCATGCTAATTGTGAACAAATATAGTCATAAAACACAGAAATATAAAGTTATAATTGCGATGTGCCACACCCGGGCCACACCCCCTCAAGAAAGCATGTGTTTATTAAGCTGTTTATCTCACTTTACAACAGTAATTAAAATTAATTTTCAAATTTTTATCACTTATTGGGTAAGATTAAGCACATGTTTACCAAAAATAAAAATAAAACAAAAGCAAATTCTGTTTTAATGAAGGTCACGGGTGAAGTTTTTTTTTCCTTCTGTCACGTTCAGTGGAGGGTGCCACAGGCTGACCTGACTTTGGAATTTTTTTCAGTAATAATGACTTTGCACAGAAAGTTAAAATATGCTAAATTAGCTTAGTTTACTAGTGTTCTAGCTATAATTGATACATTTTTAATAAAAAAATCATTCTGTAATTCTCATCAAACAGCCTACGAGTAGACACTTCGTAAATATTATTAAATAAAGAATAATGTCCCAACCAATACTTTAGATCAACACTTTAGACCTACCACTTCCATTAGGCCCTACTGAGTTTTATTTATCGTTCTTCATCGTCAAGTGATACAGTAGAACCTGTTTTCATGGTGGTATCAACTATAAACAGACTCATTATCTCCTCTTGGAATTAATGTCTCTCTAAATACCGAACTTGACAATTACTAATGCTAGAGTTATTATTTTTATTAAATAATTTAAAAAAATTCTATTCTAATTTTAAAACATTAATTAAAAGCAACGTACTTCGAGTTTTGACATCAATCCCTTTAGCCTTTAGGTAAGGGACTGTCCACATATTTGAGTACTATAGTTATAATACTAGTTAAATTGTTAGATAACAAACACTGCCTAGACTATTTATAAAATTAGGCCACACCTACATTCATTGCATATCATAGACTACACATACTAGACTGTACTATCGACATGTCATCATAGGACTAGGGTGGCTTAGTTATATATATATATATATATATATATATATATATATATATATATATATATATATATATATATATATATATATATATATATATAAGCAATGTATGTCTCTGTGTGTCTGTCTTTTATGCATAAAACTACACCTTTCATCACATCGCCATAAAACTTTGGGAAGTTGTTGAGAATACTTCTGGGGATGTATTTGCGAAAATGTTTTTTTTCATATTCGCAGGGGTGGCGATCCGGCAGGGTGCGATTCGATTCTCATCTATATACGGTATATAAAAAATAAAAGTCGATTGCGGTTTGACACCATTCATCCGATCGCCATGAATCGTTGGGTTTCTGCGGAAAAAAAATATTATGGGCGGCGACTCGATGGTGCATTTTTGTCAATACACGGTATGGAGTCAAGAGTTCCAGAGCCAGTGTTTCTTCCAGACTTTTTTCTCCGGGGGAGCACTTGAAATTGTCGAGGAGGGGGGGGGGGTAGACAAGAAACACTGTCCAGATCCGCAATCGTAGAACTTGATATCCGTAAATTGGGCGTCCTGCATTGCGGGTAAGGAGTACTACGATATTCAGCGTTAAAACTTCAACAGATGCAGCCGGCGCCCCGGCTATTGCGTGACCCGATGCGTCCTGGGCTCCCATGTGAGTACTATGGCGCCTACGTTCGTTTAAACAAAGGCTATACACTGAAGACACGCAGGCGTGTCCTACGGCGCCCCTGCAGAGTGCGATTTGGCATCCTGGGCATTCTACGTTCGTTCTAAGCAGTCTGATAGACAATGGATAAGATGGGACGTAATAGTCGCTCACTAAACATAATCAGGCGCGTCAGCAGGCACACTATGGCGCCTACGTTAGTTTTAAGGAGCATTCTACAATATTGACGGCAAAACTTTGGAAAGTTGTTGAAAATACTCCTGAGGAGATTTCTGAGGGGAAAAATTTCAATTTCTCACAGGTGCAATTTGGGTTATCCAGTGAGCGAATATGGCGCCTACTTCCGTTTTGAAAAGTGCGTTAGACTATTGATACAGTCGGTCACTAAACTGAATCAGGCGCGTTCGCCGACGCCCCGGTAGGTTGCTATTTACCCCGGGATATCCTCAGACTTTCTTCAAGCCCCGCGGCAACGCGTGTGGACGGGCACGCTAGTGTATAATATAGTTTACCTTTAATGTGTGTGGCCTTTATATAGTAATACAAACATAGGCCTATATAATATATATATATATATATATATATATATATATATATATATATATATATATATACACGATAAACCTAACTACAACTATAATTATATCAGTGGTTCAGTAGGCTAATTTTTTTTAGCTTTACAGTACCGTGCCTTAATTAATTATGCATAGGCTGTCCAACACAACGAAAACACGGCAGGTAGGCTAAGTGAAAGGAGAAAGGAAATGTTAAGAATATTTTGTTTTATTAGAGTCGTATGTAAAACACGTCTCATACCTGGAGTCGCACTTTAGTGGCGATCCAAATTAAGGGGTTTCAAAAGTAAAACGTCACAATTTTGCATAAAACTGAATTTAAAAAGTTGTAATATAGATCTAGATTGTTTTCTGTTTTGTTGAATTCTATTCTTCTGGTATGTGTGACCAAACTCAGATATCTGAATCTGTCACAGCTGTTTTATCCTGGTAATTCCATCAGAGGCGTAGCGACCCCTCCCGGCGCCTGGGGACAAACTTTCGATTTGCACCCCCCCCCCTCGAACATTTCATTTGCACCCCCCTCCTCAAACTTTCGATTCGCACCCCTCCCCCTCGAACTTTTCATTTGCATCCCCCCCCCCGTCATCAAACTTTCGATTTGCACCCCCCTAAGGTCGGCGCCCAGGGACAAATGTCCCCCCACCCCTCGCTACGCCTCTGAATTCCATCGTTCTCTTTTATTGGGCGAGGGGCACATTTCTACTATCTTTGGAACTCAGTGTTTGTCTTACTGACTGCAGATCTGAACATCTTGTGAAAGCATTTATTTTTCAATATAATGGTTTTGTCTTTTTTACATCTGTCATAAGATAGAAAGCTTGGCGCTCATTGTCAGCTTTCTGAAAGTAAAAATGCCTTTGAATAGGGCTGGATAATAACGTTGGTCGTTTTGCCTATCCTGGCCTAAATGAATACACCAACAGAGACTCCAGGTGAAATCCCCGTTTGTCTATCGACACTCAATACAAATCTTAAGCTACGTGGTTACGCTGCATTCTGTCTGCGACATACGTGTGCTGTTGACAGAGTTTCTTCCAGGCATCGCTTCGGGGGGGGGGGGGGCGAAGAAAGTCTACTGCCCCCCGAACGAAATGGAATTTAGATAGAAAATATATACTTTTGACAGTGTCCGCCCCCCCCCCCCCCCCGAAAATTGTTGTCAGCCCCCCCCCCCTCCCCCGAAAATTTCAAGTGCACCCCCGGAGAAAAAGAGAAACAAGTAATTAAAAAAAGTCTAGTGACAATTTTAGCGTAATTTCCTTGTGTTATCTAAAAATAGCTCTGTCGTAGCGTAAATCAAGAGCAGGGTTAGTAAAACCATTGGTTAGTTATTAAAACGTTTTTTATTAAAAAATTTTCAGTATTTTACATGTTTTATTTACAATAGAGTAACATGACTAAAAAACTATTGCGCGCCCAGCTACCGAACGTGACGTCGCAGCCATTGAACGTGATGGCGCAGCTATTGAACGTGATGACGCGTTTTGGCTTTTCCGGGAAATTCATGAAAGAAACCCGGAATTTTTATAGCCTATGTTCATCCTCGTAACTTGCTTAACATAATTGCTTTTGGAACTAGTCCTCGATATTGCTTCGTTGAGGAGGAGATACGACTTAAAGCTGCGGACACACATCCATCCATCTATTCCCAGAAAAGACGAGTCAATAAACGCAATTCTCCAGAATGGAAATTGCGCTAAAAAGTCTGGAAGAAACACTGGCTGTTGATCGTGCGTCAAAGTCATCAGGGCTGACTGATTCCAAAGATTATGCTCGTCCAAAGATAGAAATACATGAACACTTGAACACTTGAACAGTATTTAAAGGGATATCACATTTTAAAAACTTTTCCCCAATCAAACGTTATTAGTAAACACCCGTGACTCTGTAAGAGATTTTGACATTTAAAAAAAAAACGTCTAAATAATCGGTCTAACGCTAACCGCTGATTGTTTATTTTTTAAACTGTAGTGTAGACTGTCAAAAAATACAAATCCAAGACTACGGGATATTGTTCTAAATTTTTATTATTAAGTTCCACATTCTCCTGGGGGCAGGGGAGGAAGGGGGGGGGGGGGGACTTTTGAAGCGATGTGTTTTGTAATTAAATGTCTTAAGCGAATAAATATAAAATATAACTACAACTGCTATTAGTATTATTATTGATTTTATGTACATCTCTAGAATCTAGTTAGATTCTTCGTCACTTGCTCAAATCTGTGGCTTTCATTCGAAATAATACGGTTATGATTTTATAATTTTAATAAAAACAAGTCGCAATGTCTTGATCTAGATCTAGAATAGATCTAATCCTAATAAATGGTTTTGGTGATTTTTTGGTGTTTGGAAATTGCGAGACGCGAAAACCGAAATGGCGAGGCGGGAAAATGCGAGAAGATAATGCGAGACATACCTGCGGAATCAAGGGTAAACAGCGAGACACCTTTTGCGAAAAAAAAAAGGTAGATAGATAGATACTAAGAAGATAGATCGATCTATATCTAGATCTATCTATATGTAAATCCTAACATCGTTGCTGTGCAACATGTATTTATGGATTTTTGTACTTGCAAAAAGTGTAAAAGTATAAACAATTCTAAAAAGTGCATTTTATTTTTTTTATTAAGTAATTTTAATTACAAACAAAATTTACAAACAAAATCTTCTGAAACAGTCCTAGCACTACTCAAACACACCTCGTCACACCATCTTTCACACATAGTACATCTAACCCAGTTCATTAGACTCCCATTTATACATTTTCTTTAGCTACTTCTTCCAATCCACATTCACAACGTGTCACATTCTCATCACGGTTGGCCTCCTCGTTCATCCCACACACAACACTGACACCCATGTTCTCATCATCATCATCCGCACGCACAACATTTGATTTCCTTTTTTTATAATTTGTATTTTTTATCATTTCTGTAATTTTGGCAATGTCTTGTTCATTGTTGTCACCAGCCGGATCAACGTCAGCGGGGCGTGAACATTTACGTCCTGAAGTTTTATCTTGTCGCTTCCTTGCAGCTCTTCTTAGTTGTGTTAGATTTATTGATTTCTTGTTGCTAACTGCCGATAATCCAACTGCCTGTCTGGCCGCCACGATGTGAGTGATAGCAGTTACCGACGGCCGGACAGGAGCATGTTTCCCTTGGAAAAAGGGTGACCACCCTGGGGTCTGTTGGCCCTTTAATGGTGAATACACCAAGTTTAGTATTTAAACTTATCAGTTCATTGTCAATCACGAATTGTGCCCTTAGGGCAACAGTTGAGCAAACAGGCCAACAGTCCTTCCCTAAGGGTGCAGTAACTAAAACTGCTTCTTGTAAATTCTCTCGAATTCTTTCAACTATGTCATCGGGGTAAACTGCAGGTGGAATGACGATATGCTCCTCCCTATACAGATGAACACACATCACACAAATCCAGACCCCCATCCCCCCACTAAAATGACACCTCAGCCGACAACCCCTCTCAAAATTGCAGTTGAATTTTTTTTAAACATCGATATTTTCCCAAAAATCTTGTTTAATTTCGGTCAAAATAGAGTATTTTAATCAATTTATATTACAATTTATTAAAACAGTTTTCTAAAACGCGAAAAAACGTCTAAAATTCTTTTTCCAACATTTCTTTTTTATAGTGTGACTTCACAACGTCTAACCCCCCTCCTCCCCCTCTTCACACATCGTCATAAAATTACAGACCCCCTTCCTCTCTCCCCCCCCCCATACGAGTGTGACGTGATTTATGGAAGACCCCAAATAACACGAAAACCAAAAAATTCAGATAAGTTCAAATTGGTTTTAAAAATATTTGAAGTAGGCCCATAGCTTACGACATAGAACGAACAACTGATAATATCGGTGACGTCACTTTTATTTTTCCCTTCAAACAGCAAGTAAGAGAAAAAAACTGGGGGCATTGAGAGTTCATAAAAGCTTAGGAATAAGCAACACATAAGGGAGGGTTAATCTAGTCCTCACCTTCACATAGGGCAATAATCGCATACTTAATTTGAGGTTATTTTTTCTGACTTGTTTATGGAAATAATAAATAATAAATTTTTATAAATATTTACAATTAATTAATAAATAATAATATAACATTTATGGGAAAATTCGGAAAAGTCACAACCGTGATATAAAATCTAATATAAATTAGTGTAAAGGAACATTGGAAGAGAAAACACACAGTAAGTAGTTCTTACCTCCAGAATACTTGTATCCAAATGATGTAGGCATTTCCTTGTGCTTATATTTATATGGCAAAAAAAGCTAGGAAAAAATCGTAGGCGGCGGCTATAATACAAAATTTCTATGCAACAATAGAAAATATGTTTGCGGCGGCAGCGGATCCGGGCACGGTGATCTTCAAAGACGGTAAATCAGGCGGCCTCGGCGTTCCACACAAAAGACAGAAGTTGATCTATCGTCGGCGGTATTTCCGTCGGTTTCGAATAAGGTGGTATTCTAAGTCGACACATCATCAGTAGCGACGGAAAAATCGGAAGTTTTAACAATGTAAACGAAACGTCTTTGAAGTCTGGACCAAATAACACTGAAAATCGGGTGCGGTAAATTTTTCGCAGAAATCTTCGCATTTCAACACCACCCAGCGTAAGTATCGGGTTGTGGTAAAATGCGAGACAAAAAGTCACGTGACCGACCGTTTTCGAGCCGTTTTCGCATTTTCCCGCCTCGCCATTTCGCTTTTCGCGTCTCGCAATTTCCTCACACCCGTGATTTTTGGTGACTAGTGACTAGAGGAAAAAAAAATTGGGAAAACCCTAACCAAGAACTGCTACTCTCAACACAGATTTGTCGCAATGTTTTAAAAAGCAATGTTATTAATTTGTATCAACAATAATAATTGTTGTTAATGAAAACAAACTAGATCTAGACTAGATCTATAGAAAATTTTCTATTCACAAATATTAATAACAACTAAACTTCCAATTTTAGCTCTAGATCTAGATCTAGATCTTTAATTACTGAGAAAAGTTGTAACAATGTTTCGGTTGTTGTTCGGTCAAGTTGTTTCCCTAAAGAAAACACCACTATTTTTTCGCGTGAAGACAATTAAAAACACTACACAAATCACCAGGTACTCGTACCTTTTTTCCTATGGACCTGGTTTAATATCTCGTTTTTCATCACATTCCAACCCGTTTGTAAGTCAACTTTCAATCTATTACTAATCTTAGAGGAATAGAGTCTAAGATTCTCAGACTAATCTAGATCTATTTATAATTTATTAGGCCTAGGCCCTATATTAAAAGTATATTTAACTATATATAACTATATTTAAATATTAGTTTTATTAGGCCTTATACTATATAGTTAGTAGTATAGTATAATAGGGTTATCTATCGTTTTAGGTACGTAAAATCGCCCGCGGCTAGTAATAGTAATGTATGAAAAAGTTACTGCATTGTCAGGCTATAATTAATAGAAATATATTGATATTGTGATATATTTGTGTCAAGTATTATAGATAAATGAATAATAAACCTAAATCAATGGTTAAATATATCAATATTCAATATAGGCAAGAAATTAACTTTAAACAGTTGTGTTTGCGAGCTGTATTTGCTATATAAAAAGCGGCCATCTGTAAGTTAGAGTGGCTTCCCCCTGAATCTCGCGCTATAAGTTTACAATAAAAATAAATAAACAAGATAGCTGCTATAGTAAATGAGCATGGTTGCATCTGTTGGAAACATCGCTAGTCTTCATTTATTACTGAAAAGTTTTAATTCAATAATAAGATAAAGTATAAGCTATTGCTCGAACAGCTGACGATGGTGAACTGTTTTTTCAAGGCAAGTTAACCACGACTTAGTAGGGACATCTTTTAGGGATTGCAAGCTACTGATCCTACTTTAAAGAAAATATTCCTAGTTGCATGTTGTGTCAACTTAGTTTAAAACAAATTACTAATAAGTGAAAAATAAAAGAAATATAAAAAGCATTTATAATAATTTTGCGGGTTGCAAGCTCAAAATTGAACTGAAAACCATGCTTTTCTTAATTAAAGCCCAAAAAATGCAAATTTTCTTGTTTAGAATGGAAGAGCATCCATTTCTTTACAGTCCCACATTAAAATAATAATTTAGATTTAGTAAATCTAGCAGTGTTTTCATTCATCCCAAAGTGTACCCTCTTTTTGCCTGCCTTATGGAAAAATTGAATTTAATCTAGTCATTTCCGTTCCTCTCCACTGCTAAACAAAATGCTATTATAAGGGTTTCTGACTAAATTAAACTAATAGCCTTAACCACTTAGCCTTGTATTTACATAGACCTGATGCTTAATTGTGTACTCTGTTTAACTGTTTTTTTTGCAGGGCATCAAACCAGCTTCACCTCAGGATTTGGCCAACAGGAAAGCTCAAGGCTTACCTAAAAAGTTACCTATAGCAGGAGTTACACATGTCATATTAGTGGCTTCAGGGAAAGGAGGTGTTGGAAAGTCTACCACAGCAGGTGTATTGTGATTAACTTTGTTTAATACATTTCCCAACTATATCCATATCTTTACAGCAGCCAACTGGTCAATCAAACAAAAAAATAATAAGACATGTTTAGGGGCAGGGCTTCTTTAAGACATTATGCCAAGGTGGGCAGTGAGAGACGTCAATGACATTTGACATTTCTGGGGTGGTTCTTTCTCCAAGTCCTCCCCACCCCCTGAGAAAGATGCCTGAAACACTACTTTGGGGTGGGGAGAAGCAATGAATTCCTTAGATATTTCATTAACATATTCATATGTGTAATATGTGGGACGGCAGGGTCAAATAGTAGAGCTCACTACTGCTGACACTAAAGTCTTGAGTTTGGATCCCAAGCTCAAATCTTTAGGACATTTCTGAGTCCACCTAGCTTTAATGGGTACCTCGCACATGTTAGGGAAACATAGGCAGCTGGGCATAGTGCTGACCATATTATCCCCCTAACGCAGAGGTAATTGAAACAGATGCATTCCACTTCGTCTGTTCCATGCGTCTGGCACAAATGGGAAAAGTGATTATAAGTACAAGATATGCTGGTAAAATGTGCTTCATGTGATTACTAAAAAAATGACTAGATTTGCGTGAAGAGACAGATAAAATACATTAAATCTTTTGTTAACAATATAATCAAAATCCTCTTTCCTCAGTAAACTTGGCCTTAGCACTAGCAAGTAGTAATCAAGTAAGTTGTATTCAGATGTAAATGATTTAACAAACTTAGGAATTAAAATATTCCAAAGTTGCTAGAAAAATTCAAATGGTGATTAAAAAAAAGGGCTTGAAGTTTTTTAACCTGTATGTTTAAAAATGTGTATTATTAGTAGATTTAAAATGCTTACATCTCTAAGTATTAGAAATTTATCCAATTTGAATGGGACAGACTTATGAGTTCTTTAAAAATATGACATAGAAAATCATTTTACCAAACATATCTAAATTAAATCAGATGGGCAAATAAAGCATTTAAGAATGCAATGAAGAAATGTTAAAACATTTCTTGTCAGTAATAGTTACTCCTGTGTGTTTTTGGTAATGTTTTGCTAAATTTACTATACAAATGTTTGGTATGTTATGTTGTTAGGATTCTTTTAAAGTAAAATTGTTGAAATGTAAAATTAGGTAAAGTTAAATTGCATACTATTCTAAAAGATGGAAACATAGTTTAAAATAATGTTCCATGAAAAACATAATTAAGATGCAATTTATTTTAGCTGCTTTCTATTTAGAACTTAAAAATTGGAATTTTGGATGCTGATGTTTATGGACCATCTATCCCAACACTAATGAATTTATCTGGACAACCTGAGCTCAATCACCGTAAGTTTTTACTGGATTTTTATTTATAGGCATCAGTAACCATTAGATGTCTGTGTATCAACAATTAAAAGGGGATCAGGACAGGAAGCTGACATGGACAAAAGTCAGGCATGACAAAAGGCCAATGGGAAAACAGGTGACAGAAAAAAGCTGACAGGACATGAGGCAGACAGACTGTAAGACCCAGACTATAAGGACAAGTTAAGCAAAACATCAAACTACTATCACAGCTTGTTGTATGCACAGTACTTTCTCTGTAACATATTTTTGTGTCCAAGATCTGTAATCAATGGTGTCTTAGGCTAATAATTTACAGTACTTAAAATTTTCTTACACTGCACTATTTTAATATTCCTTTCTTTTTTATCAAATTCCTCAGAAAACTTGATGATACCACTGATGAATTATGGTGTTAAATGGTAAGTTACATAGTTGTGTGAGAATTAAATGTTAAATAGTAAGCTACATAGTAGTGGGAGAGATAAATGCTAAATGGTAAGCTACATAGTAGTGGGAGAGGTAAATGTTAAATGGTAAGTTACATAGTAGTGGGAGAGGTAAATGTTAAATGGTAAGCTACATATTAGTGTGAGAATTAAATGTTAAATGGTAAGCTACATATTAGTGTGAGAATTAAATGTTAAATAAAGATTCCCATCATGAATTGCAAAATGACCGGTTTCGGAAACTTGACTATATTTAATTGTAATTTATAGGGGTCGGTGTGGTCGGGTTGGTCAAGCTCATGGTTTTTGCAATACCAATAAGTCTCTAAGTCTTAAGTTTGAACCCCCGGGCAGATGAGGCTCCATAGCTGGGGACAGTAACTCATCTAGGAGAGAAAACTCAAACAACTGCTGCTTTGTAATTTGTTCTTGGATGGAAAAATGCTGTGAAAGCAAATCCAAAAAGAAAAGCAGGCTGAAATCGTGAGTCAAGGGCCAATGTGCCACATAAACATGTTGTGATGATACTTAATTGCAATTCATAACAAAGAAGAAATGTAATTTCTTGAAACTTGATCCCACAGCATGTCAATGGGTTTTCTAGTTGATGAAAAATCAGCCATTGTCTGGAGAGGCCTCATGGTCATGTCAGCCATCCAAAAGCTTTTACGAGAGGTAATGCTCACATTGAAATTCGCATGCTTTAATATGTATGTGTTTAGATATATTATGGAGATTTAGACAGACTATCAGTTTTTTCATTCATCCCACTCAATATGTACCCTAGACTTGCCTACCTTACAAACAAAATATTTATAATATAACCATATAATCCTTTAACACAAGGGTAAATTGTTTTTGTGCTAATTAGATAGATTTGAAAGAAGATATTATTTTGGAAATGAGAAAGAAGATTTTTAATAACTAGGAGTTTGCACTTTTTATTATTTGTTACATTTTTCAATTGATAATGTAGGTGCTGTGGGGCCCCTTAGATTACCTAGTTGTAGATATGCCTCCAGGTACAGGAGATGTCCAGCTGTCCATATCTCAAAATATTCCCGTCTCAGGTAAGCACAGTTTTATATTTTTAAAATCTAATGGAATGTTTTAATCTAATTAGCTTCAGCTGTAATTAAATCTGTTTAAACTTTTTTCTTTTAAAATGACCAGCAACAGTTAATTTAGTAGAGACATCATTTTTATGATGAATGTTATGTGCAGGTTATATAGTAGTTACAACTGTATGTTCTAATGTTATGTGCAGGTTCTATAGTAGTTCTGTATGTTCTAATGTTATGTGCAGGTTCTATAGTAGTTACAACTGTATGTTCTAATGTTATGTGCAGGTTCTATAGTAGTTCTGTATGTTCTAATGTTATGTGCAGGTTCTATAGTAGTTCTGTATGTTCTAATGTTATGTGCAGGTTCTATAGTAGTTACAACTGTATGTTCTAATGTTATGTGCAGGTTCTATAGTAGTTCTGTATGTTCTAATGTTATGTGCAGGTTCTATAGTAGTTACAACTGTATGTTCTAATGTTATGTGCAGGTTCTATAGTAGTTCTGTATGTTCTAATGTTATGTGCAGGTTCTATAGTAGTTCTGTATGTTCTAATGTTATGTGCAGGTTCTATAGTAGTTACAACTGTATGTTCTAATGTTATATGCAGGTTCTATAGTAGTTACAACTGTATGTTCTAATGTTATGTGCAGTTTCTATAGTAGTTCTGTATGTTCTAATGTTATGGGCAGGTTCTATAGTAGTTCTGTATGTTCTAATGTTATGTGCAGGTTCTATAGTAGTTACAACTGTATGTTCTAATGTTATGAGCAGGGTCTATAGTAGTTACAACAACTGTATGTTCTAATGTTATGTGCAGGTTCTATAGTAGTTACAACTCCACAAGACCTGGCACTGTTGGATGCTCGCCGAGCTTTAGACATGTTCCAACAAGTAAAGATCCCCAACCTTGGAATCATAGAGAACATGAGTGTCTTTATCTGCCCTAACTGCAATCACCATGAACACATTTTTGGAGAAAATGGTGGACATCAAATTGCTCGAGAAATGGGACTTGAAATTCTTGGTTTGTTATGTAGATAATTTATATTTATTGTTTTAAAATGTACAGCACTAGTTTTTTCATTCACCAATATTACCAAAGTGTTTTTTGCCACATTATAACTGTAACAGAATAGCAACAACTTTTATGCGCATCAACTAACAGGCAAAATTGACAGAGTTTTTGGGTGATATTTTTAAATTCTAGGACGTTTTTCATAAAGATGTTTTAAAGTTAGGACTTTACTCTATCTTAATGGATTTTTATCTTGAAACTTATATAACATGAATTAGCAGATGTCATTTTGTTCAAATAGGTGATATTTTTTTAACAATTAACTTCTTCTTATGGATAAAAAATAAATTCTCTTTACTCAAAACAATAATTTCTTGTTTAAAATACCTAAAGTACCATTAGTTCAATCTAAAATATTTATAAATTTTGATTTCTTTAAAGGTGCTGTCCCTTTGAATGGCTCAATTTGTAGACTGTCTGACTCTGGTCATCCAATAGTGATAGCCCAGCCATCTAGTCCAGTTGTAAGTACTTTTATAAGACATTTTTATATTAGCAGTAAAAGTTTTAACCCTTGAGAGCTATACAGCCCTGATTAAAACTTTGACAAACTTAGCATTAAAGTTAATATCTATTGTAGATAGTTATCAGGTCAAAATGTGTAATATTGTGAAATTTGAAGTCTAGGTAAACCTAGAGGAAATTGAATATAAATAAAGCTGTAAACAGTTGTAGATCAAGAATTTTTAGCATCAAATACTGACAAACAGCTGCAAATCTGTTTCTATTTTTAGCTGCATTAGTTAGTGGGTGTAAACCTTTAATTTATGTTAAATTTTTCTCCTCCAGACTGAGGTATTCAAGTCAATAGCAGAGAAAGTGATAAAAAAACTACCTATACAAGATCAGACATCATTGAGATAATACTTGTTGCCTTGCCATGGTTGATGTAAAAATGCTTGTACAAAAGTGGAAATATTTATTTGTAAATAAATCATTCAGATATTTCAAAATTAACCTTTGATAAAAAAATTTATTATATGATTCAAATGTAACCACAAAGATTGTATACATAGCTTTTTGAAGCCCACCAATTGTTCTTTAGAACTGACAAGAAAATGCCACAGATGTTACCATTTAATACTTTTATACTGTGTACATAGTTGATGTTACCTTCATAGATGTTTGTTTTACATAAAGCTGCTTAAAATATTGTGCTCTCCACAAAGTGACACTGGATCAAGGATATTCAAGCATCTTTATTGCAAGATGAGTTTTGGCTATTAACATAACAGTCATAAAAGTAAAGATAAATAAGTTATAAACCGATAAAAATTAAAAACCTTATACGTTTCAAAATTGTCACATAAAAGTTATATGAGAAATGATGATGTATTCTTTGTATAATGCGAAGTATAAAAAAAAGCCCAGTAGAAAATTAAACAAGTCAGAATGAATAGTAGTGTTGGTGAATGTTTACTATTAAAAACTTTTTACATATCACAGCCAAAGAATCATGAATTTACAATCCTTAAGTTAGATAACAGTTTGGAGCACTTACATTTTAAACTGTTTTGGATATTTCTTTTAGTTTTTGTAAAAACAAAAAATTAGGCATGTCAAAACAAATTGAATCCCAAGTAAAAATCTGTTTTTATATACAATACTGAAGGGTGAACAACACTATGGATGAATAAAAGATGGTTGTTTTGTACAGCAGAATTGAAGCTTGTAGTATCTGTATGTGAGCATTACAGACATCTGCTACTTAACAAATGGATGAATGTAGGGTTAACTAATGCTTTTGGATGAATAAGCAAATACAAAACAGCCCATATTGTTTTGTTACTCATACGCTGAAGCCAAATCCTCCAGACAGCAAGCTGATTACATCTAATGTACACAATCTTTCTATACAGCTGTCCTGGTTGTTAGTATTGAACTTGTAGCAAGTTAGGTGGTTTGTTGCGTACTGATATGGTTGGTGTGCCTATCTGTCTACGGTAGGCTGGTTGGGGCTGGTCCATTGCTACCCCGTACATTTTCTGAAATTGTTAAAGTATCACAAGCATAAATTTCAGCTTTAAAAATAGTTTTATAGTGTACTTTGTACTATTGCTGTTAAAATTTTTTTAAAGGAAGTTCATCCACTAAAAGTGAGTGGAGTATGTATATACTATAAGGCCTTTTTAAAAAAATACAATTTATGGTAAGAAAAAAAATAATATGAAGTAGTCTTCATACTCGTTTGGCTGTTCTCATCTTAGCATTGTAGTAAGCTGCTGATTCTGGGTTATTCATCATCAGTTCCAGCTGGAGTCTCTCAAACTTTTCTTGTTCATCTTCAGTCTTAAACAAAAATATTCATTGAACCATCATACAATCTGTAGTTATTAAAACAAAATTGATACTTTCTGTAGAAACTTTGAAAAAATTGCAGCAAAATGGATATTACAATGTGTAATAGGGTTAACATAGATACTTCAAGAGTAAGTTAATGTGTTGGGTATTAGGAACACAGCCACCTAGATACTTCAAGTGTAAGTTAATGTATTGGGTATCAGAAACATCCAACCAAAACAAAGGGGACTCGGAGGAATGCAATTTGATGACAACCACAACTGAAAAAGATTTCTCTGACCCATAACTTTATGTGAATGCCATTCCAAAAAGCTTAGTCTAACAAGGAAATGAAATATTTCAAGGTGAATTTACTTACTCTAACCTAATCTCTCTCAACCCTTCACCCAACCCTGCATTACTCACAACCAAACTCTCATTTATAGACAGCTGTTTAAAACTTTTGAAAGCAAAATGAAACTTCAGCTACTTGTGATAATTTTTGGTATTACAAAATATGAATGAACTTAATTAGCATGTACTAAATAAAAAAGTCATGAAGTGTGTCAGGCAGTAACTTACAGTCAAACTTGTGACTGGTAGTGTCAGTCCTTGCTTGACTCCTATACCAGCATTCACGCTGGTCTGGTTTTCTTCTGTTGGTCCTAGGAAACTTTCACTGTACCAGTTGTCAAATTCTAACATTTGAAAAAAAAAAAAAACTTTACCAGTTTTCACATTTGAGGAGAAAAGAGCATTCTTCTGCATGTCATTTGAAAATATTGAAGTGCCAGTAAAATAATTGCTCACAGCAAGTGTACACCAAGATGGTAAATTAAAAACTTGAACATAAGGATCAAATAGCAGCAATTTGTGGTCATGTTAAATGATCAATAAACAAGGAAGACACGGATGTAGTGATAAAAAATCAATTACATACAACATTAACACTACATTAACACTAACACAAGTATGTATGTAATAAAATATCTATAATCATATAACAAAGATAATAATGTGGTAAAGTTCAATCTCTAAGCTTGGATTAGCCTAACACTAACACAAGTATGTGGTAAAGTTAAATCCCTAACCTTGGATCAGCCTCAGACGACACTGGTCAACTAGCTTCTGGCAGTACACTACTTCAGATTTTAAATTGTGCAGCTCATCATACTTTTTCCTGTAGTTTGCTTTCAGTTCTTTCAATCTCTGAATCTCATTAAATTCTTCTTCAGTGATAATAATGTCACCATCCTCATTTAGAATAGGGCCTGTTTTAATATAAATATTTATAACATTATTTAACATTAAACCCATATATGTAGGTTTAAATTTAAATATTTTTATCTCTTTGTTTCTTTTCTATGCCATTTAAAACATAGTTTTTTTATTATCACTTTTACAAAAGAACATTTCAACTACAGTTACAATGATTAGGTATGGGCCTACTTCTTTAAAAATTAAGTAGGTATGATACAATTTTGTACTTTGTTTAAAATAAAGTTGATGTAAATGTGGAGAACATTACCTTCTGCCTCTCTTTGTGCTTTCATTTCATCTAGTTTCTTCCTTGACTCATCAATTGAATGCTTCGTGTTATTGATGAAATTAGCTAAATCAGAATACTCTTTTTTCTTTGAAGCCAAAATACCTGATCAAAGTGACATAATTTTCTATAAATTCATCATTCAAATCTAATATATAAAGCTCAATTCTGTATGTAACATGTAATAAGTTTGTTTGTCATGGACATACTTCAATGGATTATTATCGTGCTCATAGTCTAAATTTATGAGTTAAAAAATTACTATTGAAAGTGTTGGAAAATAATTTTCATTTTTCAAACTGATAGTAATAATTGTCGGCATGTTCATTAAACACAATTTTTAAAAAATATAATCTTTTACAAAAACTCTAATTATGTCTGAAAATTATTTATATTTAGTCCTTTAGCACTTACTTCCCTTTGATAAATTAGGAAAACACAATTACTTCCCTTTATAAAACATTGCATTAGTGGAAAAGAATTTACTTTTTATTACTTGGTTTTGGTGTTGGGAAAAAAAATAATTACATAATTAGCGGGGTTTGATCAAGTGCAAATGTTGTAGGTATTTTACGAATAAGCTTGGAGTATTATAATTGTTCATTTGGTTTAGTTTGGCACCTACGTTTGTTTAAGTGAGTGCAAAAGACTATGAATAAGTTGGGGTACTATAGTCGTTTATTAAGCTGAAACAGGCGATTCTGCCCCGGGCTAGACTGTCAGCACTTTGCGTTTATGTTCGCGTTTGTGTTTTCTTTGTGTTTAGGTTGGGTTTGCGTTAGTGGTTGTGTTTTGATTTGGTTCGTTTTTTTTCTTTCTTTTTTCGTTTTCGTTTGTGTTTTTTTCTTTGGGTTTGTGTTTGTATTTGTGTTTGTGGTTGGTTTTGCGTTTGGATTTGGTTTGTTTTCATTTGCTTTTTCGTTTGTGTTTTTTTCTTTGGGTTTGTGTTTGTGGTTGGTTTGGATTTGGTTTGTTTTCGTTTTCTTTTTCGTTTGTTTTTTTCTTTGTGTTCGTATTGGTGTTTGTGGTTGTGGTTGGGTTTGTTGTTAGGTTTTTGTTTTCGTTTGCTTTTTTGTTTGTTTTTTCTTTGTATTTGTATTGGTGTTTGTGGTTGTGGTTGGGTTTGTTGTTAGGTTTTTGTTTTCGTTTGTATTTGTAATTGTGTTAGCGTTATGTTTGCGTTTTGTTGTTTTGGTTTTGGTTGGTTGTGGTTTGGGTGGGCAATGCCGGGTTTATGATGATTACTTAACACACAGGTAATGGTCTTTAACAGAAAGGTTTTTCACAGAAGCCAGAGCAGGGCCTGGCCGGGACGGCTAGTTAATTATAATTGTAAAAAGAAAATGTAAATTAAAATCCTAAGAAGATAAGCCTTCAATTTATGCTAATTTTTAAAACGCAATAAATAAATAGATAAACAATCATATAAGTAGATGAGTAAAATAAATAAACAGGTAACCAGCATAGACAGATAAACAAACAAATAAATAAACAAATAATATATATATAAATAAGTGTGGCAGAGCTAAAAGAAAGTCTCTCTTTTGGATCCCGGCTTCAGTCTGTACGGCACCCCTGAGTCCAACTAGCTCTGATGGGTACCTTACTCATATTAGGAAAACAGGCAGCTGGGCATAGTGCTGACCACACTATCCCCTTGTATGCCAAGTTAATTGAAACACATGAACTCTACTTCATCTACCCCATGTGACTGGGCACAAATGGTAAAAGATTATATAAAAGAGAAATACACACACACACACATACATATATATATATATATATATATATATATATATATATATATATATATATATATATATATATATATAGTTATTACCTTTATTTTCAATAAGAATACGATTAATCTCAATCCCTTTGTCTGACTTAAAATCCTCAAAAGCTGATGTTCTGCTAGGCGGTGTGCTGTAATAGAACACACAAGTATTGTGAATGATATGGTTTTTACTGCTCTGTACAAGATCATGCAAAACTACAACATAATTTGAGTCGATTAATTTAACTGCCAGTATCCTATTTCTGTAGTCCTACTTTCCATAATAATTTTTTTATTCTGACAAAGAGGCAAGTGTTCTTGAGTTAAGTCTTACATACTAAGTGAATCTGCCTTCAATTTGCAAGTAAATATTAGTAATCTTTTCCCTTATTGTTAAATATAAAGAAATAAATTCTTTAAAAACCTATTTTCCTCTCCAACATAACATTTTTTAAATTATAATTTTGAAACATTTTATGATACTAAGTCAAACATTGAAGACTTTATCAAATCGTATCGAATATTGAAAGAAAAAGAAATTGAATACAACACAGAATATAATAATGACTGCAGAAAGAAAGTTAATTTAGAGATTAAATTTGAGAAAGAATTAAAAGCATTTTTAACATTAATGTTTTAAAGTGATAGCAAAAAAACAGTGACTGAGGCTTCTTTGTAATTTTCTGCTGGAAAATATCTGCAAATATTTTTGTGTTTTAAATGCATACAATCATTATAGTAAAACAAATGCTAATAGCTTGCTAATTTTTTTAAATTGAAACAATTGTATTCACACTTTGAAAATTTTGTTCAGACATGACTTATTTGTAACAAAAGTTTTTCTGATGGGAGAAGTTAAACTATTTTCTTAGCATAGAAACAAAAAGTGAACATCTAATTTAAATCTATTTATACTATATTACAGGTTAATAGAGAGATAAATTTCATAAAAAACTGTTTGTAATATGTAAAAGGAAGTGTGTTTGTAAAATTTACAGTAAATGTTTAACTTGCATTAGCTGTAAATAATAATATATTTTAAAAATCTTTAAATCAGGGTAAGCATAAAAAAAGCTCAATTTTAAAGTATATTTCAAATTTTATATACATCAAGAATGAAAATGTTTTTTGAAAATTTAATAAAAGTGACAAAAGTTAAGATAACTCAAATCATAATTAAGATAAAAATTGTAAGACATAGATCTAAAGTGGTATCCTCTTTTAGTTTGAAAAATTATGTAATATTAAAATAACCAACTTAGTTCTGGTTATTTAAAATAATATTTACTTCAAGCTTAAACATTTGAAATGTTAGCTTAAACAACTAAAAGCTAACATTTGATAAACTACTGATTTCAATAAGCTAAATAGTAAACAAAACAATTAATGAAAAAAAAAATTTCTGTCAAAAACATTGAGACAGTTGTTAGCATAACAAAAAAAAAAAAAAGAAGGAAAAATGGAAAGAAAAGTTGTGAACTGTAAACAAAAACCAAATCATACTCTGGTCTTATTTGTTTTGGTTTTATTTTCTCTTCTTCTTCTTCATCTCGGCTGTTATCCAGAAAAACAAGTCATATTATAGATGTTAGTGATCAGAAAGGTTTATATGATATACATAGTGTATAATGTACACCCACACACAGACAAGCAGCCCTGTTAACTGTAACATCTGGTACAAACAATCTTAGGTGTTAGCTAATGTTTCCAGAAAGTTTGAATTTTAAAAAATTGCAGTTGTTTATAGGACTGAACTTTTCTGTAACTAAATTTCTGGGTGTGTATGGTGACAGTGCTGTAATTACAGATTTGAAGTTAGTTGCAAACCTTTATGATATGCTTTCACCAGCAATATTTTTTAAACACAAATTGAGATTTAATATTGCAGATACCAATCAATCTTCTAGTGGGATATAAAAAAATTTGAACAAAAAACAAACATTTATATATTTACCTTTCAGAATCTTCCGGTCTTTTAAAAGAAAAAAAATTTATTAGTTTTAAAATAGATTTAAAAAGCAATTAACAGAAAAAGGCTTTTGAGTAACAACAGATTATAGATATTTAACTAATGATGTCAAAACTGGGTTAAGATAATCAATAAATCCTTAAACAAACTAATAAAATAATCTCTACAAACAAGATTTGATTACAATATAATTTTCAATTACTTATGAAAATTATATTTTAAAATATACATGTACTTAAACAGAACTTTTCTCAAAAAAAATGTGATGAAACTAAAAAAAAACAACATTGTTATAGTTTCTTTCTTGTAATTTAAAGTAATACACACAAAAATTTATTATCTGTACCTTGATTTTTGTCCCCTTGAAAGGTTGTCAGCTGAACTGACAGGTGAAATTGGAACTTCAGATGCTTCTCTTTCAACTTTTTCATTAGCTGGGGAATCAGTTTTTCTTTCACCTTTACCACTGTGTGAGGAGCTGGATCCAGGCTTTAATGGAATAGGACTAGCTCTGCAGGAGAAGTCGGAACAAAACTTGCATGAATATAACTCCATCTCATTTAATTAAAGCATTCTCATTATTATAGAAATTTACAGAATATATATATATATATATATATATATATATATATATATATATATATATATATATATATATATATATATATATAAATATATATATATATATATATATATATATATATATATATATATATATATATATATATATATATATATATATATATATATACACTAGCCGTTGGTACCTGTTACACATGAATTATTGGTCTATATATTTTTAATGGTATACATTTTTTAGAAGAATATTTTATAAAATAGTTATTGGTCAAAACGCAATGTGCTTTACTACAGGTTTAGCAATATTAGTGACAAAGCCAAGAAATAACTAAATAGCTAAAAGTCCGACACATTAAAAATAACATAGGCTACTAATACCTAGAAAAAATAAAACCAAATTATATACATTATTTGTCAATACAACACCATATTAAATGCACACACTGATTAAGAGACTTAAATGACTCCGTTAAAAACCCAGCTTTTCAATGGTATTTATATTGTTTTTTAAAGTAATTTGTATTAGTTTTGGCCGAGGAATCTATATACATTTCATAAATTATGTCTCAATAAGTAAATCTATAGATCGAAATCAAATTTTAATGAAATAGTTCATTTCTTCGTATTTGAAAATTGGAATATGACACCATTGGTTTTGTGTACTTTCCGTACTTCAAACATATGACATGTGACGTCATCGATTTCAGCGTTCTTGTCCCAACTATAAACACTTTTCGGGTTGCATAATTAAAACTGTTTTTCTACAGTCGAATATGCCTTTATTTATTATTTTTCTTCTTTAAATAAAACTTTGTTTATACATTTAAAACATCTACCATATTATTTTCAACAAAAGTCTGTATCAAGTCCTCGATATCGCTGAAGATTCTGATGTGATATCCTGCGAAAATATTTTGCGGACAGAGAGAGAAGTGTGCAAATGGTCTTTTATATATTAGGATATGTATATATTCAAATAAAACTTGAGATTCATTTTTAAAAGGCAATATTAAAAGCTATCAACATTTAGAGAGGTCAAAAAATGACTTTTGAAGACACTTTGCATATGGACAGGCCAGAACTACATTGGTTATGATTTGTTTCCAAAGTGGGACTTTCAACTTTAAAACCATATTGAACAATAGCCGTATTTTTCAACAGATTTTCTATTTCATACATGTAAATATAATAGATACTATTTTTCTTTTCTTAAACAGTTGTACTAAAAACAGTTAAAGAAGAAAATCATATTTTCAGTGCTTTTAGGAATTGGACATTTAAAAACATTTTTACTGTCTTACACGATTTCTTTTGATCCTTTTTTCTTGTCTCGTTCTCTTTCTCTCTCTTTCTTCTTGAGCTGTACCACAGTAGAAGAATCTGATTTCATAGTCTTGGGAGCATTGCCCACACTAAAGCTGTTCCCTTCCAACTCTCCAACTGCAGTTTGATCATCCAAAAGCAAATTACTAGCCTGCAAAATAATTTAATTTATTACGTTTATACATGAGAAACATGGAATGATAACTTTTAAGTCCAACTGTAATCTTAAGTAAATCAGCTAAAATGTAATTCAAAATTAAATCAATGAGCATATGTTTTTTTTTCAAAATTATTATGTATTCACCAATTTAAAAAACCCTACTTTCTGCATTAAAAAAATGAACTAACTTATTACAATAATAAAGTGAATTTTAAAAAGAGAAACCAAAATGTTTACATTCAGAACTGTAAAAATTCAAAAGAAAATAATTTAAAGTGCCTTCATTAAAAAAAAAAGAAACAAGTAAACATCATGAATGAACAGTCGTTAAAAAAAGAGAGGATTACAAATAATACCTCACTAGGTTTTAAACTTTTTCTCGTTAGCTCATTTTGGAAGTTTTCTAAAGCCTGTTAAAAATAATGTTAATTATCCTACCTTTTACTTTCATGAAGGAATTAGAACATTTGTTAAAAATTTAGCTATAGCAGATACAGTTAGTTATCATTTATTAAGTGTTCTTGAATAAGAGCTGTAATGTATTACTGGTCACTCTTGCAGGCATACTGTAAAACATTGAGAAACATACCTGCTGTGCTGCTACTATAGACTGCGGGTCAGATTTGTTCAACAAAATATATTTTTCTTTCAGTTTTGCTTCAATATCTTTTCCCAGATCTCTGAAGAAAAGTAAAAAGTTCAATAATAAAATGGCTTGTTCTTACTTAATTAACAAGGTTAGGCAAATACAAATAGACTAAAACCTCAAACAAAGTATAAAACAAGTGCTCATTCTAATATTACTCTTTACATGAAATAATATAAATTTAAAAAAGTATGTTCTTCATATTCTTGTGCCAACCCAAAAGTTGGTGTACTGAGAAATTTAATTTATAATTCTGGTAATCTATTATTTTAATTTAATTACAGTTGTTAACAAATACTAAAAACTATGCTGTAAAACAAAACAAAAATCACAAAACAAGTGTTATCAAAAGAAATCTTAAATTACATACTTATATAATTCTTTGAAGGCAGAATATGTCCCTGAAATTTGTTGCAAGCTGACAATCTAAAAGATAAACAAGAAAACAAACTATGGCACATTCTATAAGCAAATATAGAAAGGGTCTAGTAATTTTATTAAGCTATATTTTATTTTATGAAAGCCAGTGCCAAACAATAAAAACAAATACATATATCTTAAGTGTTCTAAAAAAATGATTTTCTTATATGAGACAATTTCTAAAGCATCACTCACATCCAGTTCATCAAGATCACCCTCCAAATATCTCCGAACTTGAGATCTTATTTCATATTTCTGTTGCTCAGAAAGAGGCTCATAAGAAACCATACTGCGGTTTGTCTGAAACAAATATTAATAGCAATGTGCACATTTTTCTACAGGGAAAAGAAATATTCATAAAAGAAAACTACTGTTAGGTGCAAATATGTTTTTAATATTTTTTAAAGACATTGAGCATTTTAACAATTTTTTAAAAGTTAATGGGTTGTCCATAAATTAAATCATGCAATTTTAGTCCAGATTTATCCCAACCTACCCCCACACCTGTTGTCAAATATAAGAAAAAAACCCAAACAACTAACCATAGTCTAAATGAAATGCCACCTTATATTTTAACCCCCTTCCCAACACACAAACACACTTCCCAAAATAGAACATCATCACAAAAGTCTACATAAGAACATGATATAATGTGATGCTGATTCCTAAGCAAAATAGTCAAGCTTAAAGTCATGTCAACTTTCTTATTATTACTACAATAGTGTGAATGAATGCTTACAAGGGTGTCATGCATGGCCAACTCAGATTTGAGTTGCTGAATCTCTCTTTGGAGCTTCTTCACCAACAGCTGAAATAAATCAAAGAATCAAAACTTATTAACACAGATAATGCAAAAATACATTTAAAAAATCTAATGTGATGAAAATAGTAAAAAAAAAATCAGCTGATAATAATAGAAGTTTCTACTTACAGCTGGATCGTAAATCTCATTGACACATGGTTCACTCTGAACACACATCATTCTTGTGGCAAATCTTAGTGTGGATACCTGGAGAAAAAATGTCCATCGGAGTAAGAGATGTACTAAATTATAACTATGGAAATGAAAGTAACAAGAGACATTAAAATGTAACATTTTTTTTATTACTGTTACATTTGAAAGTAATGTAAATTGTATAACTGGTCTCCCAATCCAGTTTAAAAGAAAAACCCAGCTTATTTAAAAAAAAAACATTTTATGCTTGTATTGTATTTCAGTTTAAAAAAGAAAGTCTATAATATTTATTCTAACTTAAAGCAAAAAAAGACTTACTGTTTCTTCAATCTGAGCTTTTTCTGCCCACATGTTAGCAATAAGAAGAGTGTTGCAGTTACCACCAATGGAGTCTTTAAGATAATGAGTCAGCTTGGACTGTCTGAATGGTACATGTTCACGATTGCGTGCAGCCAAGGCTATCACTACTTGCTCCAGAAAAGACAAGGACTTGTTAATGTACAAGGCCTCTTCTTTTGTTTTACCCTCAGACTGTAACATGGAGAAACACAAAATTACACAATAGAATGATAAAACATAAAACAAAATTAATGATAACATTAGGGAATTTAATAAAAGGGTAAAATTAGAAAAATTTATGGTATAAAGAGCAATGGGGCATACTTCATTTATTAGAGTATAAATACATTTTTAACAATTCATTGAAATTTATTTTAGTAATAGAAAAACTAAAATTAAATGATAAAGAAAGTTGAAAGTAGGCCTATACCTTTGTTTTACTTAATCTTTCAGAACCAGCCAAATCTACAAAATGGACCTTTGAAACTGTAAACTTTGTGTTGGACTGGGTTCTTGACCTTGACTTTTAATGATACATAAAATATCAGATAATATAAGTTTTTGTATAGTTTAAGAAATGTAATTAAACATTTTTCTAAATAATGTATGTCGTTGTTTAGATCTTTAAAAAAAAGCAATGAGATTGAATTACCTCAAGGTATATAGTAAATATACAATGAGAACGTGATGATTGTTTGTTCAACTGATGAGCTGCGATAGATCGATTTGTTTCACCCTGCAAAAACCATTTCATTGCTATTAAATAGTGTTAGTATAATTTGGTGGTTTAAAAAAGAAATTTGTCAAAATTGATAAATAAATTTAAATTGATTGTGCTAAAAAATAATATTAATATCTTTTTAATTTCCTACTATATACTATTTTGAGGACTACTGGAATCGAATATTAGACCACAAACAATTAATAGATGAAATCCCTCTATAGTCTAACATTGATATTGATACTGTAAACTGCAACAGATACTGCTAAAGAGAAATAGCTTAATAGTTCATGTTGTTTAAGTTCAAAATAACATTTTAGAGTAGGCCCTACTACACTACACACACTTTATCAACATTTACTTAATTATGGATCTTGAAAAATTTAAATAAAAAAGTATTGTATTGATAGAAACAGTTTTAACTCTACCTCAAACAAAAGGTTCAAAGCCTCTTCCTCATTTTGGGCAAGGTGACAAGACAATCCTTTAACAAACACACCATCCTGGTTTTCTGAGACTACCATAGGCTCAGGGGGCAGGAAAGGATCTCTGTTAGAATTCCATGCAGCTTCTGGCAGTGATCCAAGGAGATCAAACATGCCCTCATTGTAAATTTCAAGGTAAGAAATCCTTTATTGAAAGAATAGGTAAGCATATATATATATATATATAATGATTACCTTAAAAATACAGAAACTACTATTGAAAGTGCTAATCTTGCTGTACAATACAAATTTTTAAGGTTTTGGAAAACTGAAATGAAAACAAAAATAGTAGTGCAGATTACCTGACAGTGATACTGTACTCAAGTCGCTCTTCAATTTGTTTAAAAAGCTGAGATATAGCTCTGGGTATGACACCGCGGTGACGGTAACTCTCAGTGGCTCCTGTCATGGTAAATGTTTTTCCAGCTCCAGTCTGACCATAACACATGATTGTTCCTGAATTTTATTGATAGGAAATATTTTAATAGACAACTTGGTGCTTTTTAACATGATTTTTAAAAATTTTTCTTCAGGAACCAGCACAGCTTAGTGTTACTTTGGTATTTTATTAAAACAAAACTGAGAATAAAACATAATTTTAAATCTTTTTAAATTTTGAGGAAAATTAATTGCACTAGAAATTTTCTCAGAAACGTAGTAAATTAATTTTAAAGTATGTTCACACCTAAAATGTTAAATATTTTATTTTACCATTATACCCATCCAAAGATCCTTTAACAATATCCATTGCAACCGTGTTGTACACAACCTCCTGGTCAACATTGTTAAACAGACCATCAAGCTTGAATGACCAGTCCAGAATCTGATTATTCACTACGCCTTTCTTTGCTTCTCTGCGCAGGTGAACATTCACACTCTACAGATTAAAAGAAAATAATATCACATAATTAATAATGACTACAGGTATTATAAAAATACATTGCTAGTGATTGTTGCTAAGTTCCTTATACTTTATAAAGATACAATGATAACAGTGATAAATTATCAAAATTTAAGTAGCCATGATATATTTTGTAGTATTTTTTATTTTAATTTAGTGACAAAAGTTAACCTATAAGTGTACAGTAAGATAAAGATTAACGACTAAAATAAAGAGTAGTGGCTAGAGTCAGAGTTAAGTACAATGAATAATTAAGTAGTAAGTAGGCCCTAGTAATAGTAAAGTAACTTAGTAGAGTATAGAGGTAGAGTCCTCATTATTCAGCAGTGAGCAGACTGATGAGTAGTTAGTGCTGAGTAGACTGCAGAGTACTTCAGGCAAACTGTAGATCTAGTGCACATTTTATGTGAGTAATGCCGATGGACATGGGATGGATGGATCATGGATGAAGTAGCTTAAGAAAAATTAAAATAAGAAGAGAGACTAAGAAAGACTGAAAGACGACGGCTTACATTTTTAAAATATTTTTTTTACCTTACTGTCACCAAGAATTTCGATATTGTCTTTGGCGAAATTCGATGTCGGTTTAAAACGGCCCCAAACTCTGACTTTTCTGTTTCGTGTGCTCATTTTGTTGTATAGAATAATTGTAAAAATAAAAATATTGAGTTCAGTTAGTTTGGCCAAACAATCTAGCGTCCATGTTTATTAGCGTTGTTAGGTAAGCTGCGCAGGTCAGAGTTTGAAGGAAGTGTTTCTTATAAAGGTGCTATGTTATTTAAATAGCCAAACATTATGGTACAATAAAACAATTTACCTTGCAAATTTGCAATAATAAAAACAATGTATATAAACATTTATATTATCAATCTTTTAAATGCAAACAGAACAAAAATAATTAAGAAGTTTAATTTGTAAAAATAAAAATGTTTGTTGTTAAAGAAAACTATTTTAAAAATTAATTTTCTTTTCAAATAAAGTAAAGGGATATAACCAAGAAATAAGTTAAAGAGAAAAAAAATGAAGTTTGGGTAGGGGGAGCTAATTGCATATGTATGACCGCACTGGTTATTAGAAGACTAAATTTTAAATTAAATCATTTCATTGCAAAGAATATCCATCATGAGACAACAAACCACACAGAAATAGGCTCGAACTCATTTCTGGCTTGGAATAAGCAAGTTTTAAAACAAGTTGGTCAAAGACTATTAATGATGAAAACTTGATAAGTGTAATGGTTTCCCGCGTTCTTTTTTGTTCATTTATCTATTAATTTGGAATTAATTCCCTTTTATATATGTAGCTTATGTATTTTTAGTTGTAATTCGCTTAGTAAAAAAAAAAACTATTTTAATTAGTTTTATCCGCACGAAATCGAAAGTTTGAGGGTGGGGGGGGGGGGGGGGGGGGGCTGGGGGAGTGCAAATTAAAAATTTGTCCCCGGGCGCCGGGAAGGGTCGCTACGCCTCTGTAGATCGCTACGCCTTATATATAGTTAATGTAATCTAACCAAAGTTATAAATTACTAGGTACTTTTTTACTTTCTCGTATATACGTAGTATAGAGAAAGTATTGTAATCGTGCAAAAAAAAAAAAATCGAGATTTTTACAAATCTCGACGTTTTACACCTCACTGATACGGAAAAACATAATTTTGCAATCTTGTCCGTATGTCTGTGTGTGTGTGTGTCTGTCTGTCTGTCTGTCTGTCCGTGTGTAAACACGATAACTTAAGTACCGTTACAGCTAGGTTGATGAAATTTCATATATAAGTATTTTATCAAAATCGTAGATCCGTATCAACTTTTGAGCGATTTCCGATAACCGGAAGTGGTACTTTTCCTACTTTGAATTTTTTAAAAGCCTATAACTTGAGTACTATTTCAGATAGATAAATGAAATTTCACATGTAAGTAAAAGATCTAATTCTCTACCTTCTGTTAAATTTTGAGTAATTTCCGTTGACTGGAAGTAGTAATTTACGCTACTTCCGATTTCTCAAAAAACTAATGTAAATTTTTAAAGTACTAATAATATTGCGCACTATTATACGCGTTTTTATTCGGCGTTTGCTTGGTGCGCAATGTTTTTTTTAAGAGATTCTATTCTATTTTTAAAAGTTTAAGTATTTAAAATGGATTAAAAATCATAACTATATCCCCAGTTACCATCCCCTGTTGTTTTATATAAGAATATTCGAGAAAGTTTAGGGGAGATCACTACCGGTTTATTAATAACTGCGATTTCACTGCGACAGCCTAGCAGTGTTTCTTCCAGACTTTTTTCTCCGGGGGGGGGGGGGGGGCACTTGAAATTTTCGGGGGGGGGGGCGGTAGACTTTCTTCGGGGGGGGGCGGATACTGTTAAAAGTATATATTTTCTATATAAATTATATAAATTTCATTTCGTTAAAAAATTTTCCGGGGGGGGGGGGGGGGGGCTTCGCCCCCCCCCCCGAAGAGATGCCTGGAACAAACTCTGCAGCCTAGTTCACCTAATAGGTAGCGCCGGACCTGGTTTATGCCAAAGGAAAAGATTGCAGAAAATACTAATAAAGCAATAATAATTTCTTTCTTTTAAACTTTCGCTTAATTTTTTTCAGCGCTTCTCTCTTCACTGGTCTTCGCCTTTTTCACGTTTTCCTCACTTTCACCCGCAGGCCGTTTTTTTTAAACCTGTTTAAAACGGTTTGATTCTTTGTCACCTTTAGCATGTTGGAGAAATTTGTTAATTAAACATTACCGATGCACGACCAGTTGCAACGTTTTCGGGGTTTCAACTTTCATCTCCACTGATTCTGAAACCATTGATCAGTTGACTCATATCTCAAATATCGCTCATATCTCAAGGCAAAAAAAAAAAAAACAAAAAAAAAAAAAAACAAAAAAAAAAACAACATTTTAGTTGTCTTGTTTACGGCACACACGTATTGCTGACGCTGATTGCGCGTACAGACCAGTGTTTCTTTCAGACTTTTTTCTCCGGGGGTGGGGGAACTTTATTTTTAACACGTTTTTATTAACTCAGCTTCGCGTTTGTGTGTTTGTTATTAAAATTGACATCGAAAATTAGCCCACTTCTGATTGTTCTATAGTTCTGAAATTTGGCATGCAGGTTACTTTCGCCTAACAATTTCAGATGCAATCATAAAAACTAGCAATTAGAGACCGTAATTAGCTTAATTTAATTACGCCCTAAGGACCATAAAATTGAGGACATGATTTCTAAAGATACCGACAAGACTGAAGACCTATTGACACAGTTACTTCGGCCCCAATCGACGTGAGCGCGCTGGCCGTGATCGTATAGTGGTTAGTACTTCGCGTTGTGGCTGCGACAACCCAGGTTCGAATCCTGGTCGCTCAAGATTTTTAGTCCGTGTATTTATAAACACTTAGTCAAGTCATACAATTGGATAAAGTAGAAAATAAACTAGAGTATATAAAAAACTTTTTTTAAAAACCACGTTTTTCATGTGTAGCAACGGACTAAAAAGGAGAAAATAAAATACTTAAAAAAAACTTTTTAAAAAACCACGTTTTTCTTGTGGACTAAAAAGTAGAAAATAAATTTTCATACATTTGATGACAAGAAAACGTGGGTCGGGCAGATGGGTCGGGAAATTTGATAGTGAACGTACCCACGTTTTTTGTCATCAAATGTATGAAAATTTATTTTCTACTTTTTAGTCCACAAGAAAAACGTGGTTTTTTAAAAAGTTTTTTTTAAGTATTTTATTCACTTGTACATTTCCGTGGGGGGGGGGGGGGGGGGGGGGAGGGAGGTGGACACTGGTAAAAGTATATATTATTCTATATAAATTCTATTTCGTTCGGGAGGGTTAGGGGGGGGTGTGAGGCGGTAGACGTTCTGGTACAGACGCATGTTTATACAGAGGCGTAGCGACCCTTCCCGGCGCCCGGGGACAAACTTTTCGATTTGCACCCCCCCCTCGAGATTTTGATTTGCACCCCCCCTCAAACTTTCAATTTGCACCCCCCTCAACCCTTCAATTTATTTTTCCAACCCATTTTGGCGCCCCTAAGCTCGGCGCCCGGGGACATATGTCCGCCCCCCCCCTCGCTACGCTACTGTGTTTATATGTTTTGTGTGGTGTAGGCTGTTGGCAGAAGGGGGTAAGGAGAAATAGTGGGATTACAACAATCCATTGGACTCCGCAAATGGAAGATACTAATGTTTTTAAAGCTATAGGCGGCGGTGAACTTATGTCTCTTCATGTCTACTATTTCAAATTTATGTGTAGGCTCTAGAATACTAGCGTACCCGTCGCGAACGTTGATGGGTTCTAGTTCTACGCGCAGAGTGACTCAACATTTTTAGCGCAATTTCCATACGGACAATTGCGATTATTAACTCGCCATTTCTGGATGGATGAGTGAATGAATGGATGGATGTGTGTCCGCAGCTTTAAGTCGTATCTCCTCCTCAACGAAGCAATATCGAGGACTAGTTCCAAAGCAAATATGTTAAGCAAGTTCCGAGGATGATTGTGGGCCAAAAAAAAATTCCCGGAATTCCTTCCTGGATTTCCCCGAAAAGCCAAAAACCTCGAAAAAAAATGCAGTTTTTTGCCCATATCTCAGCAACCAGACCACTTAGCGACTTGAAACATTTACCAATCGATTCCTGCCATAATTTTGAACAATATTGCCGAAAAAAGTTTTCAAAAATATCCTTTCGTTCGGTCACAAAAAAATAATTAAGGAAATTGCGCTTAAATTGTCACTAGACTTTTTATTAACTTGTTTTTTTAAACTGAGCATCGTGTAGGCCTACTCGTTAAAATAAAACTATTTCCGTTGATATAGGTTAATATAGTTGTCTTTTTTTAGCGCAAAAAATATCCTTTCGTTCGGTCACAAAAAAATAAAAATTGTTATGGGTAACATAAGGAAATTGCGCTTAAATTTTTTAATAAGCATTTCATTAACGCGTTTCATTAATACTGTATTTTTAGACTTGTGACCTTGTTTTCTAAAATGGAGTTATTTAAATGTAAAAAAGCGCACGCATACACATACACACTCACACACACTCACACACTCACACACACACACACACTCACACACACATATATATATATATATATATATATATATATATGTGACCTTCCCCGAGTCTATCCTGCCCGACAACGCCAATTGTAACGAGTTGAACCACTCATGCTACACAACATCGACTACAGTAGAAAGACTCGAAGATGCAGGTTCGCTATTGATCCTTTTATTACATGAATCAAGAAATGCTTCAATATAACACAATGAATCAACAGGAATGTTTCACAATAATAGTCTGAATCAACTGACCCCTAACAGTCCTCACTAGGCTTCATATAACTGAATCCACATGTCTATTGTCCTTCTTAACACAATATAACCAACTTGATATGTCACACAGACTGACTGATCTAAAGCGAGCGATGAAGAGGGAAGAGAACGAGTTCAACCGTCCCCTCCTATTTATCCCTTGTATCCGTACTCGTCCTCGTACTTGTATTCCTCCGTAATCGATACTTGTACTCGATGTCTCCGACCACTAGTTGCGCAGTTCTAACGTACAGTCCGTGAAATAACATCTGCATCCTATCAATCAAAGTTGACAGGCTGTCTGAATCCCCTCGTACCGTTTCCCAAAATAGCACGCGTTGGCTTTGAGATTGTTATCAGTCCGATCCAATAAGCCACCTGCTATGTTGCATCAG